TAATAGTAGGCTTGAATCAGGCAAAGTTGCTTCGGCGACATGTCATTGTACATGACTAATCACGGGAAATTTCGATGACTGTATTAATTGCAGAGACAAAATCTAAGAAACAAACGGAAGTAGGCAATTGGTTAAAGCAACGATGTTCGAAGGTTCAACAAAACTAAAGGTATTGCTCAACACACTCCGACTCACGTCGGAATCCGTACTGTCTCTTCCATGTCCGCGCGGTGCGATTGAGGCGAAGACGACTACGCAGGCCGCTACGGCATTTTCAATGATCTGTCGCTTCTATAAAATATCGGCGTGACAAAGATCTCTGTTCCTTCTGTGAATACGTCCTCCATTTTCAAAATGCAAGTCAGAAGGCCGAGCAAACGGTCAGTTAGCGCTTTTTATGAGCAATTGCAGATTTCTACAGAAAACCATTGCTTGTCAGGCGTTCCGTTGTCTTCTTAATTCTGCCATAGTGTCAACGGTCTCTTCCGCAGATAGTGGACCGTAGTTGCAGTCGTATTCGGGTGACGGCAAGCCTTCGAACTTGACATCAGGAGAGAAAACCGAGCTTATCCAGCTCAGAAACTGGATAAAATTCTCCTTTGCCTGGGATGTCACGTCCGACAAGAATATTACCACCATGCCTTGATTGATTATAGGGCCAACATGTTTTTAAAATTCAACGTAGCCTCTTTGCATCTCCACTAGTTGAAGCACATCACAAATTTCGGACGTTACAATATTCCGGCTCGCTCCCATTTGGGCTGAGAAGAGTGCAGTTTTCGGAAATTTCGGGAGCCACAAAGGAGATTAGTTCGTGTAGTATAAGTCAGTCGGGTAGTTTTATCAGAGGTCCGGTTCTGGTGATGACTCCAACGGTGACCTAGCACCTCTGAAGCGTGATGATATACTTCGACAGTTTTCTACCGAATAGGCCTGAGAGAGAATTGCACCATGCAGCGACGCGGCGCAAAAAAAAGTTCGGGTGAAGTTTCCGTGGGAAACTATTTAATAAGTGGTGTAATACCAAAAACGTTTAGACTTAATAAGGAAGCATGACTCTAGCAAGTCGCTACTAAAATAAGTTGTAATAATACGCTTCGTGTATATAAAGAAAAGATCAATAGAAATCGTTGTAAACTAACGTATTGGCATCTGCAGCAGCGCCATAGCATGATCCACAATAGTCAGGACCCTAGTATGGTTCATATATAACCAAGGGAATACCTTTTTGGCGGTCAAGGAAAGGTTCGCTGATGCCTCGTCTACAAAAACAATAAAAAGCGCGGCAGATCCTACCAGAGTCTACAAAAGACGATGGAAGGTTATCCCCTGAGGTAGTTATTGGCATTTTTGTGATCTCTTTTTTAATTCCGGTTTGATGGTCCCCGGACACGTCCATTGAATCCACGCTCAGGACTGCTAAGTGTCAGTAGACAGCAGAAATTACCGTGACAGGGGACGAATGGGAATGCTATGTCAAAGTCAATTGTCATTTTCGTGTCACGGGAAATGTCAACAAAAATTTCTTGTTTCGTTGATGGTGAAACAAAGTCAAGGAATTCAGCAATGAACAGACATGAAATCATTATAAAGCAGATTATGGTCACTACAGGAGTTAAAAGGAATATAAACTACTGATAGCTCCTGGCACTGTTTGGACTCTAAAATCCTTGAGGGGCTTTGCGAATGCGTCAAACTGACGTAATGAACGTGGCAACTGCGGCAAGCTCATTTTACGTCGGACGTGAAGTTCTGGGCTAAATCACCTTTCGCTGGGCCCTGCTAATTGGGTGTTATCAATGCTTAAAAGGGGCTCCCTTGCCATGCTACCAAACAAAGCGAGAACGCTTCAAGTTGCTTGACGGGCAGAGAGAGAAAGAGAAAGAGAGTATTCGATTTTCGTTGACGGCAATCTCAGATGTGCTCCTACAATACATTTGGCTCTACATTATTTAATAATTTGTGCCGCTTATTTTTTACCTATTCGCCGACTGGGGTATTGGTAGATGGCTGAAAATTATCATGCAGGCAGCCCCATCAATGATGTAAGAAATTGTTACATTAATCATCCATGGTTGTTTCCATCCACTTTTAAGACCTTCTTAATTTTTTAAAATTGGAGTCATGTTTGACTTCGGTCTCCAAGCCATACCCTACTACAGCGCAATTAGAATTCTACCCCGAGCTATCACCACTAAATGCGCCCGGACACCGACATTTGCAGTTTCACACCGTTCTTCAAACCGGATCGTCGAACGTGATGGTCCTCTCCATATGGAACTGAACAAAACCTGCTTGATCAGGGATGTCCTTATTGTCGGAGACTTTAAATTTCCCAATTTTGACAGGCAAATTTGGACTGTTTCGGGTCCAACAGATACACCCGGTCATGATTTACTCAGAATGGTTGCGAAAAAAGTGCCTTGTATGATTTAAGTCATGGAACACGTGTTAGGGAAGAGCAAACTTCAAATTATCAGATCTTGTGTCCACCAGGGATGAGGAGAGTTTGATGGACCTATAAGATCTCCCGCCAAGTAATACCAGTGATCATAATAAAATGCTCCTCAAGTATCTGATGTTCTCCTACCTAGACTCGCCTAACCAGCCTCTGCTTCTCCCAACATCGATGAGTGAAGAATTACTCCAGTTGAAGAATGACCCGCTGAAATCTTCAAGTCATGTGTCGACACTCTGGCGCCCTGGCTCCATGGCCGTGGAGAGACGAGGTTGTTCCTGATGACTGGGGCTTAGGCATCCTTGTACCTATCCTCAAAAAGGGAGATAAAACGAGATGCGAGAACTACCGCGGCATAAGTCTCATCGACGATGCTGCGAAGATCTTCGCTATTGTCCTACTCAGGCGATTCCAGGCCGTACTTGACTCAAGGACGAGGCCCAACCAAGCCGGATTTCGTGCTGGACGTGGATGCGCAGACCAGATATTCACACTGAGGCGCATTCTCTAATCTCACCATAGCCACCAACAACCGACGGCCGTCTGCTTCATTGATTTTGCCACCGCGTTCGATTCCGTTCACTGTGAGTCCCTGTGGCGGATAATGGTGCTAGATGGTGTACCGGCAAAAATCATCGCCATGACCAAGGCCTATTATCGCTCCACTACTGCAAGAGTCCTGGTCCGCAACAATCTTTCCCAACCGTTCGGTATTCGGTCTGGCGTCCGACAGGGTTGTAGCCTGTCACCCATACTGTTCAACTACGCTATTGACTGGATCCTCGGGAGGGCCCTAAAAGAGGGTGACGGTGTTGAATTTGCACCCGGCCATCGACTGACTGATCTCGACTATGCCGATGATATCGCCTTACTTGCTTCAAGTTTTGGTGATCTGCAGTCTATGGTGTCACGAGTGAACGAGGTCGCTAAATCAGTCGGTTTCTCCATAAACGCTGGGAAGACCAAAGTGTTCTCAAGCTGCATCCCTGACCATGAGAAGGCACCCCTCGGGATTGATGGCTGTCAACTTGAAGAAGTAGACAGTTTTAAATACCTTGGGGCGAGGCTGCTGCCTAATGGACAGAGTAAGGAGGACATTGCCTCCCGAATTGATGCTGCCCGCTGGGTCTTCTCAAGCCTTCGGAAATGCCTGTGGAACCGACGTGACCTCTTCATCGCTACTAAGACTGGCGTGTACCGGGCATCTATCCGGTCTGTCCTTCTCTACGGTTATGAATGCTGGGCTTTGCGCGTGGAGGACGAGCGAAAACTGGAGGTATTTGACCACCACTGCTTGAGGACCATCCTCCGAGTGAAGTCCACCGACTTCGTCCCGAATGAGAGAGACCGCGCTCGCTGCGATAACATCGCAAGTATAACTGAGGCCATCCAAGAAAGGTGACTGAGGTGGTTCGGCATGTTCTTCGTCGTCCACCTCAGGAGCTCAGTGTCACTGCCCTCGATCCGGCACCGTTGCCCCATTGGAAGCGTCGAAGGGACCTTGGGTATTCGGTCCCTGTCGTTGGCGAAGGGAATGGGTTGAGCTGTCTAGATCTGCTGCCGTGGATCGTCACGCATGGAGAGGTACAGTTCGGGACATCATTGAGGCCGGCTAGATCAGGCATGATCGCAGCCTTATCAATTACAAGTACAAGTAAGGGTCGTCCAGTTGATGTCATATTCTTCGACTTCAAAAATGGCATTTGGTAACGTGCCTCATACAAAATTCCTACAGATGATTTTGGAGTGTGGAATAAAGGGCAACTTCTTTAAGTGGATTAAAAGTTTCCGGACACTCAGGTTACAAAGAGTAATTGTTGCCACCACTGCATCCGAATGGGTTCCAATAGAGAGCGCGCTTCGTATGGTTCGGTCTTGGGTCCTCACCTGTACCTCAGCTATATAGATGCGGATTTTGAAGGCAATTCCATCATGTTTACAGGTCATATGAACATCTGGAAGACAGGCGGCTGTGCCGACGACGCGCAGAAACTGCAAGAATACTTTGAAAGCCAGCACGTGGCTTCTAACGTTTAATGGATCCAAGTCCGTAGTCTCTCGCTTGGAATCTGGTCGGAGACGCATCCCAAAACATAAGTACACCTCGAACGAGATTCCTCTAAAAGAATGGACACGGACGAAAACCTTAATTTCTGGTACCCGAGCACTGTAGCAGAGATTCCCAAAAGGAAATCGACATCATGACAACGGAGACAACGTGTCTGTATCGGAGATGATATGTCAGAATGGGTGAACGTGACCAGTGATGTGCCTCAAGGCTCAGTTCTGGGACCATTGCTCTTTATCCTTTATGTTAATGATAGCCTTCAGGAACTCGACTTCGGCAAAATAACGTTTGCAGACGACGTTAAGCTCTGGGAAGTCATTAAAGGTCCGAATGATCAGAGATCCCTTCAAGATAATCTGCACCGACTGCAAGCGTGGTCGAAGAAATGGCTTCTAGATTCCAATGTGGAGAAGTGTGCCGCCGTTCATCTGCGTCCAGCCAACTCTCATTCAAATGAGAGCCTGAGGAAATATCACCCGAAAGATATAAGGCTCCCCACAGAATCTTCCAAGAAGGATCTTGGAGTTTGCATGCAGAACAACCTGAAACCAACACTGCAGTGCCACAAGGCTGCAAAAAACGCCATGGAAGTGCTGCATGCAATAAAAAGGGCTTTCGTAAATTTTGACCAAGACGTTTTTTGGAGAGTTTACGGCACATTTTTTCGGCCCCACTTAGAATATGGCCTACAAGCATGGCGGCCATGGCTAGTAAAGGATCAAGCATGCCTCAAACGGGTACAACGTCATGCAACAAAGCTGATAATCGGTCTAAAAAGCCAATCCTACACAGACAGACGGAATTGTCTTAATTTATTCCCTCTGTGTTACAGGCAGCAAAGAGGTGATCTTATCTTCGTCTACAAGATAATACATGGCCTTGAGCATGGACTTAAATTTGAGGACATGTTTCAGTGGCACATTTCGCCCAATCTTCGTGGTCACTCGATGAAGTTACGGACAACAATGTCCAGGCTGAATTTTCGTTCTAAATTCTTCACGCAGAGGGTATTGGAGAAATGGAACGATCTCCCTCAGACAGTCGTGGAGGCTACGTCCCTGCAACTCTTCAAGAAACGCTTGGATGATTATTTGTGTCCCCTGTTTTCCCTCGACGGTCTGAATCTGAACTAATACCCCTGGTCCCCACAAGTATTTTCTCTGAGACAATGCTACTCAAATGAACCAAGTACTGTTTTAATAGTGAATATTTTTATTCGTGTGCAGTTATTTCTAGCGAGCTTAGATGTAATCAATGGGGTTTTCAAAGGCTTTGACTATTATCCTTACCAAATAAACTGAAACTGAAAGACTTCACAGAAGGTGGATTTCGGCTATCATCAGTTTCTTGTTTGCGAGCCCAGAGGGACCGATATTCTTACGAACAATACGCCTAAAACTTCTACATAGGTTGAGTTACACCCCAAAACTTAGATATTACCTGCTCCCAAGTATCAAACATCCATAATAATAACTTTATTTGATGCCAATTTACAGGCATTGTCAAGGGAAGCGTTAAACACAAATCCGACCAGCAGTGAAAAAACTCCCGAGGTGAAGAAATAAAAATATAGTCGATGGTGGTTTTTATCGTTTGGAGGGTTCAGGAGAAAAAACTGCTGGCGGCAGGCTTTCGACCGTCAAGAAGGGGGGGGGGGTTGCACGGTATCGGAGATTATCGGACGTCAAATTCCTTTCATGAAGTTGGGGATAGTCAAAATAGAGGCGTTGAGGAACAGCTGGTGAGACCGGCCATAGTGTTCAGAGACCAAAAACGCCATCGCTGCGGTAGAGTAGATCAGTGGATTTAGCACCCAAAACTTCTGGGAGCTTTCCTGAATGCAAAAATCGAGTAATAGTTCTCTTAAATAAAGGATAATTTTTCAGAGTTTTCACACTCATGGGTAGTTTATTCCAAATAGCAATTGCATTTACAGAAAAGAACCGACGATATTTAACAGTACGTGCCAGAGGCAGAAATAAGAAGACCTAACGGTGACTGTTACGTCGTGGGTGGATATGATGTCTTAAAGAAGTGAGTGGGTTAAATGTGTGATTATATAAGAGTTTAAATAGCAAAAATAGTCCCTTTTGTAATTTACGGAAACATAAAGGATCAAGGCCTGTAAGCCGGCAACGTTCTTGGTAAGACAAATGTCGGTGTTCCGGGGTTAAAATTCTCTTGGTAAAAAAAGTGTTGAACGGATTCTATTTTCTTCCGCTCAGTAGCACGCATGAGGCTAAATGAAAACGAACAGTATTCCAGGCCAGGTCTAACGTACATGTTGTAAAGGCGCATTCTGATGTCCCTAGTTTTAAAGTTTCGGAGGATAAACCCGGTCGTTCTACGTGCTTTGGAGACTATCAAGGCACAGTGCTCCGAGAGATTGAGACTCTTGGAGTATGAAACGCCCAGATCCTTGATAACCCCAGGCACATTTATGGCGTGACCGTCAATAATTAGTTGAGGTTGGCGGTCGTCGCCAACCACCATGACTGAGCACTTATGCCAAGAAAGAGAAAGGCGCCATGTGCGGCACCACTGGGCGAATGCCTGTAGATCGCTCTTTAGGAGCTCAAGCACGATGTCATGATCTGCCGGCTTATATCGATATGCAACTTTAAGATCATCGGCATACATGAACGGCTTACCATTCTGAAATAAATCGGGTACATCATTAACGAAAAGGCAAAATAAAAGTGGGCCGAGTACACTACCTGAATGACTCCACTCCTCACACATGTGGGGTTGGAGATGGTATTGGAAATCTTAACTCGTTGTGTACGAGTGCCCAGGTAAGAGGATATAAAATTTAACAGTTTACCACCTATTCCGAAAGAGGACAATTTCAAGAGAAGAAGAGCATGGTCAACACGATCAAAAGCCTTAGTGAAATCGAAATATACTGTGTAAAGTGCAAAACCATTGTCCCTAGATTGGAGAACATAGTCAAAGAAAGAGAGTTGACAGGTTTCACAAGACCGAGCTTTGAGGAATCCGTGCTGAGAAGCACTCAGTTGGTTATTTTCTGTTGTAGTGACACATCATCTTATCATTGATCAATGTCTCTAAGATCTTCGAAACTTCGGGGAGGGTGTTTATTGGCCGAACGTCATCAAATGACGTTGATTTGCCGTGCTTAGGAAAGGTCAAAATGTGTGATTCCTTCCACAAGGTATGATAAGATTCACTTTCAAGAGCGAGATTAAATATCTTGCATAAGAGTAATGGGAAAATCGTATCTGCATCGGCTTTTAAAATGCTTACTGGGACACCATCAGGTCCTCGACTATAAGATTGACGACAACGCCGAATCGCAACAGTCACATCCCACAGAGTGAAAGTTATAGTTTCTAGGACTGCCCCAGTCAGTGCCAGGATGGTCGGAAGTGGAGTGGTCGAGTATTCAATGAACGTTTTGGACAGGTAATCATTGAAGCTATCCGCGGTTAACTGGGCATCAACTATAGGATTTCCGAGATCGTCTCGAAGGATGGGATACTGCGTCTTTCTCTGAGTTCGTATTTTTCTAGAGAAAAGTTTCGAGACACTTAACGAATGGTTTTCGGTAAAGTGGACCTCTTCGGCTAGCTGTTTTTCTTCAGACAATCTCTTAGCTCGATCAAAAATATCACAAATCAAGGGCAGAACAGAAACATCGTTCTGCAGATGGAAACGACGATAAAGCCTGCGCAATCTGCGACGAAAGGGTAAAGGTAGGAAAATCTCATCCCCAACATTAATAATTTTCTTACGGGGGACAAAACGAGAAATAAGCGGACCCAAAATTTCGTACAGCTTTGCAGTGCAAACATTTACATCCGAACTAAGGAGGAACTCAGTCCAGTCGTAGGAATTAAGGTGTGTTAATAATTCGGTTGAGCGAGTTGATCGGAAATCGCGGAAAAAGTTATACTTTTGGGACAACATTTCGTCAGCCTCGAATTCCAACGCTGAAACAACTATGTCATGGTCTGAGCCCCCGAGTGGGCCTAGGGATGACACTGACGATGGCAAGCAGCCTCTACAGAAAAGTAAGTCAAGTATACTTGAGCCTCGGGTGGGAAAATCAGCAACCTGAGTCCACATCCCGACATCCACAGCCTCAAGAAAGTCATCGAACCTTCTGGGGCCTGAAGGCGGAGACCAGCGGATTTCAGGGAGATTAAAGTCACCCGCAACCAGTTGATACTTAAAACTTAAGTCGGCCGCAGCATGAAATGCCTGTGAGAGTAAGCGATCAAAATTGTCATTGGCGTTGGGAGGGCGATAGACGCAGCCAACGAGTAAGGAGAACTTATTTTTTTTAGTGCAACCTGTAGCCAGCAGCTCCC